CCCCCCCCCCCCCCCCTCAAAAGTTAAATGGTCGGTCCCTTACTGGGTTTCTTTCGCTTTAAGAGATTTCACTCCAGTTATAAAGTGAGGTCATCGGCGAAGGTAAAGTATTTCAATTTCCGAAAATCAAAAGTAATTCAGGTGCAAAACATTATATTCTTGACTTGAAACCAATCTCCTCCTGGTACATGACAATAGGGCCATTTATACGGGACAAAATAAGACGCGACTTACATAAGACGCGACTTAAATAAGACGCGAGTTTGTCGTATAAAAGGTACAAAATTCTTATGTAAGACGCGTCTTGGATAAGACGCGTCTTACATAAGAACAGGCCTTTTAACTGTTCTTATCTAAGTCGCGTCTTAAATAAGAAATTTTGGACAAAAAGTCTAACTACACATGTCAGAAACTTGAAACAACGTAAAATTATTAGCCTTGCATATTAAAACAAAAACAACCAAAACAACATTATAGCTATAGCAAATAAATAAGACCAAAGCCGTAGAGAACCATTTATGCGATAACTCCACTTATTTAAGTCGCGTCTTATGTAAGTCGCGACTTATTTTGTCCCGTATAAATGGCCTTAATGTTCATCGATAAAATCACAAAATAGACATGACATCATGGTATATTTATTCTGTGATAAAATATTCTTTTGTGCCATGCCACCTGACATGGCGGCTGACATGCAAGTCAAGAATAGAGAAAATGTAAAAATCAGTCCAGTCCAACTGTCCAGTCCAGTTCAACTGTCCAGTCCAGTCCAGTCCAACTGTCCAGTCCAGTCCAACTGTCCAGTCCATGTTTTGTATATGCCCAGTTGTTGTCGCGGCCGCATTGTCCCACCGTGCAATTGTTACTATGATTCTAAATCAAATAGACGACGTGTTTAATAGATATGATGGCCTAATTGAATTGCGAGTGATCCCGTACATTGGTCTATCTATCAGTAGAGGAGACTTTATGACACATTCAAATATAGACCATAGAACTACTACATAGTAGTTGTATGACTTAGTTATAAGACTTACAATTTAATACTGAGTAAAACATGTACATGTAAAACATGTAGCTAATTGTCATCATTGCACAGTTTTGTAATAAACAGCAATTGTGTGACTCGTCACGTGACTGAAAAAATTATATTTATGCCCCAAATATTTTTTAGGAGCGATCTCTCCAAACGGTGCAGATGTTGAAAATAAAAATTTCCATACTTTTACTTCAAACTTTACGTGCCGGCTATAATTCTGGTAGTTGTAGTATATGACGTCATCATGAACGGGCTCTGTAAGTCAATGCAAAGTTTTTATAACTTTCCGTCCACGTCCATCCCCCTTTGGGTGTTGAATGTTGATATAAGCCCCGTTTACACTACGCTCAATTTTTGGTGCTGCACGACACCCGTACCACTTTTTTGATTCTTGGATCACTTATTTAGGTTGTCCAAGAACCAAAAAAGTGGTAGCTACGGGTACCAATTTTATCCGTGCCGTACCACAAATTGAAGTTGGACATGCATGCTTACTTCACACCAATTGACCATTTGCGCAATAGACTAAATTTTGAACTAAACAAGTCTACACAAAAATTTCATCACAGCTTGAAGGAGCATTACAAAATTAGTAATATTCCAAAGTTTCGTTGCAAAATGTTGTAAAATGCGGAAAATATAGCCTTGCGAAATTTGCAATTTTCAGTCATTTTAGATTACAAACGGGAAATTGACAGCCCCAAACCCTTCGAGGCTGTCAATTTCCGGTTTGTAATCTAAAATGACTGAAAATTGCAAATTTCGCAAGGCTATATTTTCCGCATTTTACAACATTTTGCAACGAAACTTTGGAATATTACTAATTTTGTGATGCTCTTTCCAGCTGTAATAAAATTTTTGTTGAGATCAAAATTTAGTCTATTACGCAAATGGTCAATTGGGATTAGTCTGCACATCTACATATCGCAGACATCTGCCTTGATCGAGATACCGCTGCCTCCAATCGGATTTAAATGCCTCCTAAAGCCCGTTCTCCACTAGGCGAATTTTTCGCGCGACGCGAAGCGAAAAACAAATCTTAGCAATGTGATTGGTCAGCGAAAAATTTCGCAGAGAAAAAATTCGGATCAGTTCCTACTTTTTTACTGTTTGCGCGAACAAATTCGCCTACACGCGTAAAAATTGAGAAAATCAACAACTAGTTCCAGGTTGATATTAACCGCAGGCGTGAACAAGGTTGTGCGGCCCACTATGAACAGTATTGTCAACATGTTGTTACAGCATTGTTCAACGTAGTATTCTTCTATAAGGCAAATCACGACATTTTTAATATTGATAAAAAAATTCTTCCATTTCCTCAACCTCAGGGTCAAAAACAGACAAGATCATTTAATCCCAACTCGCACAAATATAAAATTCCGACATACAAGATGTCAACCTATGAAAAATCTTACAAAATCCGAACATCAAGAATATTTTTTTTTTTTTAAATATTTTTCGCCCAAAATACTACATTTACAAGGAATAGATATATATAAGAAATGGGCTAGGAGCCTACTAGAAACCACATGGCTTTTTTTTTAGGCCCCTAGGTTAATTATTTAAGCTATATCAATAAATATAAGCTCGTGTCAGTTCGAGTGTTTTTCAGAGAATTAGTAAGGAAAAGAAGAATTATATAAACATATGAATATATATAATTATATTTACAGAAACATGTTATATTGTTAAATCTAGTTGTAAAAAGTACTTTTTAATTATTGATTTGAAGGAAGCATAAGACCTAGGTTCTTTATTTTTTGTGGGAAGATTATGGAACACACTACCTAATTATATTACATCCAAAGACCGAACATTTTCAGAATTCAAGAATCTTCTTTTTAAGTACTATATTTTAGCATTACAAAATACATACGATGTTGAGGATCCCCGGACATGGAGAAGTGTGTGTATAAAATGTAATTCCGCTCGAAGTTTAATGAACTCTCCATTGACATGCTGCTTTTAGACAAATGTAATGACTGTTGTTCAAGTATTGTTTATTGTGTGTGTTTAGTGTACCTTGTAAATTGTTTCTTTATAACTATTGGGGCCGCTGTAATTGGCAATAGCTGTTGTGGTTTCCCAGCCAATGAATGTATAAGTATGATGGCAAAGTAAATAAATAAACTGTAACAACTTGGAACAACATGGTTGACAACTTGTTCATAGTTGGCCGCACAACATTGTTCACGCCTGTCGATATCAACTTGGAACAACCTGTGCGTTTTTAGCCGTGTAGTGGAGAACGGGCTTTACTCCTGCGTCAGTGCGTCACACTCCCTGATCATGCAAAATATGAAAGTCAAAAAGTTCCAAAAATCATTAAAATTTTAAATCACAAATCTGCTTAAATTTGCAAACTCAATACTTGCCAGAATTTTCAAAATTCACGGCAACTTATATTGTGTAATAGATGTCCCGAAAAAATCCTAAAACCGTTTTATTAGTTTTTAAAAAATTTGAAGCCAATATAATCATGGAAATAATACACGTAGATGTTTTATCAAAAGCATGCATTGTTGGAGGCCAGTAAGCTAGTTGTTAAATATGTGAATATTCACTGCCAAAATAGTCCCCCTCCTCCCAACACAATGTTTCGAAATGTTGATTATAACATCAACATTGTATATAGGGGGAGGGGGGACATGACATCCCCCGCCATGCGGAATTGTGTCATCGCTGTACTATTCTGAGTTCTGACCACTCTACTGGATAATTATTCATTGTATTAAAAGGAAAACATTCAATACTTTTCTCGTTGACTTCTGACTGAATAATTGATTGAGTCGTGTTATAAACAATTATTGCCGGATGAAGCTCAAGTTTGTGATATATCTAACTGCATGAATTCTCAAGTCCAGTAATAAGCATTTTCAGCTGGAAGTATAACTGTTCAGCATTTATCAGCCAGAAAATGTCTTAGACAGTCAGTATTGCCTATTGGGGTCTCATATGAAAGTTTTCAAGCTTATCAGATTTTATTATTTCAGGTATTATCTCTACTTACAATAGTGCAGATTAAGATTGTTATTTTTAATATGGCACAAACGTCGCACAAACAAATTGAAATTGACTTTCAAAGAAATGCAAAAATGAACTAAATTATATTGTTAAGCCCGCAAGAATTGTGGTAATATTCGGAGAAGTACACTTGTGACTATTAACGTCCCGACGAATGGCTTAGCCCGCAACGTCAAAGTCCTCCTACTATTTTTCAGGTAGTTCCATCCCTATTAACCGAAGTTTTGTTACATTTCGGTGCATCAATTGGAATACATGCTACCGTAAACCTCCGACTATAAGCCCTGGGCTTATATACTTTCGTAAGCGATTTTTGATGGGCTTATACAAGG